GCAAACCCACCACTACTGCATCATCTACTTTCAGTGTTCTCACGATCGTAATACAAAGCAGGCTCTCCATGAACGCCTCGTTTTTAAGGCCGTCAAGCTTCGTCGTGCTTTACGGTAAAGACAGAGTTCATAGCTTTGTCGTGCTTCACGAGAAAGAAAGAGTTAAAATTGAATCTCTAGGCCCTTACGCAGCCTTACGCAGTTTAAAGTGCCCAGTCCTTGCACTCCATGCATTGAATCTAGACGGAACGCGGGGCTTCGTTACTTGAAAACTCATCGCAGATCATACACCACCAGTCTTCATTTGTGCTAATGCTATCTATTCTTGAACGCTTGCACCTCATTGAACTATGCAACTAGTGGAGGTTATATATGTTTTCACGTATCTCCTTCGCCTCTTTTTGTCGCTTCGATACAGAACTGGTCAGGTGTTTCATGGCCTTTAAGTTCATCCGCCGGGCTCTGTGAGGCAATGAATTTAAAACTGTGCTAGATTCAGCTTTTCTGGCACAACTTTTTTCATTTAGGCTAATATATATATATATATATATATATATATATATATATATATATATATATATATATATATATATATATATATATTATATATATATATATATATATATATTGGTGTCGTTGTATGCCAAGTGTGACCGGTAAATTTTCGACTATCTCCGATCATGCTGAAAAAACGTATCACAGCATATCCACTCGACGGAGTGAATGATGATGAACGGGGCGAAGCGTCTGTCTGTCCGTCCATCTGTCTAACTGTCTGATACTGCCGGTTACATCTGACGCAGGACAAGGTTAGACTAAGAGGAGCTTTGCCCCTAGAATTTGGCAGATCCCATGTACCATAGGAATTCACGTTATGCGAAGCATGCGGATGAAGGTGACTGTCTTGTGAATTTTTTATTGTGCGGCACTTTATTAAATGGCGCTCAATATGTACAAATATGTGTTAATGTTGCATGCACAGATGTGTGTTGAACAGTTTCAGAGGCTTATATAACCATGGTCTTTGCAGTGACGCAATGATGCCAACAGGAACATGAGTATTAGCAACACCACAAGCGATAAGCTGAAGGAAGCGCTGGTCACCGCAAAGATAGTAGCCCTGGACAATAATTCAACTTCAGCGCATGGCACAGAACTAAAATTAACAATAAGCCGACGGGATGCTGTGTATAGGAGTTACATATGTAATGTTTAGAACATTGGATAGCAAGCACTGCAGCCACTACTAATGTTTCACGATCATTAGGATCTATTTGAAAAGTAGTTCCGAGACCTGGCGCGCCATTGAGGTAGAATACTTGATTGCCACGCAAAATGCTGAGTTCCGATTCCAGCTGGGGCCCTGCAGACATTCGCTATTTGAATTCATCAGGTCACTACTGCCCATGTCCACTTTTTCTTAAAGCTCGTTAAATTGCCCATTAGTGTTTTCGGCATTTCTGGGTAGACACCAAGTGTCAACAACTTGTAGAACATACCCCTTCCAGAACTTAACAGACCACAGGCGCTAACCCTACGCCTATTACAGACCTACACACACCGAAACCTTGCCAAGCTTCACGTTTATTATCCTGATGCATACCCCAGCGACACATGCCCCTCGTGTGGACACACGGCGACACTCGCACACATGCTCTGGGAGTGTAAAAAGACTCCTCCAGTCTCTACCTCAAACAAGTGATCCCTCAGGAGCTCACTTCTCGCCGACCAGCAATGGGCCGTCCAGCAGGCCCACGAAGCGGCCGCCAGGTACTCGCTGTCGGTTCCTACGTGGGAGACGCCCGCTACGCGCTAAGCGCGTCCTGCAGAACCGAAATAAAGTTTTTTTAAAGACGATAGTCTTTCTTGGGGACCTTCGACACAAAAAGTTTCGCCTGCCTGCCTGCCTGCCTGTCTGTCTGTCTGTCTGTCTGTCTGTCTGTCTGTCTGTCTGTCTGTCTGTCTGTCTGTCTGTCTGTCTGTCTGTCTGTCTGTCTGTCTGTCTCTCTGTCTGTCTGTTCACTCTTAACGGCACCGGGTACTTGAAACGGCCTACCCCATCCGCAGCACCCACCAATGTTGCTCAAGATTCAGCGTTCATACTATTGCAATTTTCAATTATTAAGTAAATATTGCGCATGTCCGGGGAACTATAACAACACGTATATATTCTGCTTGTGGGTCTTTTACAAGAAAAGGCATACATAAGCAAATTTAAGGACAGTAGCGCTTGTCACGATGCACTGACCATGCAAAGTTTGCAAAAAGTCGAGTGCTTCCAGCGCTTTGCTAAGGTGGTGGCACCTACCCGTCACCTTGCATTCTACACCTTATCACCTCTGAGACGGACGTGTACACTCGTCTCAGAGCCACGTGCTTCGATTTCCGAAAAAACTGCCAGATGGCACTCATGTCTCACGTGTGATGTGACTTGATGAGCTCGTTCGCCTCCACTGCACGTTCGAGGCACCCTAACGCAGCGCCTCCAGAATACCATTCACTGATTGTTTCGCGCAGAACATCAAATAAACGTTTCGTTCACTTTCTCCACACGGAAGACTGTCGTCTTTCGGCGACATTTGCAGATTACCATGCAGATACGGGGCCAATTTTTCTATTCCACTGCATACCCGCACACCAGTGGCACATATACGGCCGCGGTTATCGGTTATATGCCACTTTCTGACGGAAAGTGTTTGATGACATACGCAATGTGATTGTGACATTATTCTTGTCTTGGCCAGCACGGCATAATCGCCAAAGCTTTTTACCTTAACTATACTAATTTGCTTCACGCCAAGTTAAGGGGGTGATAGCTAGAGCACTCAGGCGTAAGCGGCTAGATAGATAGATAGATAGATAGATAGATAGATAGATAGATAGATAGATAGATAGATAGATAGATAGATAGATAGATAGATAGATAGATAGATAGATAGACAGACAGACAGACAGACAGACAGACAGACAGACAGACAGACAGACAGACAGACAGACAGACAGACAGACAGATAGATAGATAGATAGATAGATAGATAGATAGATAGATAGATAGATAGATAGATAGATAGATAGATAGATAGATAAATAGATAGATAGATAGATAGATAGATAGATAGATAGATAGATAGATAGATAGATAGATAGATAGATAGATAGATAGATAGATAGATAGATAGATAGATAGATAGATAGATAGATTGCAAAAGTGCTTGCTGTATGCAGTGAAATGCTTCGCATTTCAGAAGTCATGCTAGTATATGCTCATGCCAGAATTGCTAATGGAGGCGTTATATTTCAGGAAAAATCTTTGTTTTCACAAGAGAACGCTTTCAACTTTAGGCACAAATCTAGAATTTTGTAACGGTAGAAAATTTATATAAGGTTTAGGGATTTGAAAAACTACAATGCAACTTTTTTTCCTTCATAAATAGAGGCGCTCTAATCATTGATCACTATGACAATTTATTCAATTTTGTTTAAGTTTTGTTATGTTTGCCTCAAGGAATAATTGCGAAATGTGGATGCTTTACATTTTAAAGAAAAGCAACTTTTCGTCACGAGTACGGTATGTTGAGGCCCTTTGGTTTGAAATGTCTTTATCCCTAATTTAAAGATACTGCGAGAAAATAGCCATTATATTACGTCAAAGACAGAAAGAATAGCATTTTGACTGAAATGCAGCGTCATTTCTGCAATCTAGCCGTACATGTAAAAGTGTGACTTATATAATGGTGTGTGGTATACACTGTATGTATAACACGAAGACAGTTTGGAGAGAGTAGTTATTGTTCTAAGACTGACTGACAGACAGACAGACAGAGTAGGAATTTTACAAAGGTCCTGAGGAGCTAGCCAGTGAATTTTTTTTCAACGGAACAGCCGCAAGGTTGCAGGAAGTTTCCCTTCGCTTCGACTTCAGTGCCTGTTACGACAACGGAAAATTCTAGCGAGGCCTTTTTCGGCAGCGTTTATTGTAAGACATGAAACTGCTTATCGCTTGTTTTACAGATACTTTTGTAGGACCATTCAGAACGGTAATAATGCTAATATTGCGGAGAGTTATCTTCCCTCAATGAACATAATTGGCAGGCTAATTTCAAGAGAGAACGGTAGAGAAGGAGTAGTTGGGAAGTCAACCAGTTCAGGAAAATCGGTTTGCTACCCTACACGTGGGAGATGGATGCTTAACCGCTTCGTTGCCCGAAGGGGCAGGCTTCTAATGTGGTCGATTGACTGCAGGACAGTTCTGGGGCGCCGTGTTTGACTCCTGGCAATTAAGGTACATTGTATTACATAACCATTAACGACATAAATGTAGCTTCCTCACGTTATTTTTTTCATGCATAGTACGATGCGTGATTGCTTACTACGGGGTGGCATGATAAAACTATGTATACCGTAAGTGTACAAGTTGAGCATGATTCCCTGTCGTGACGATAAATGGCATCCGTCACTAGTTCCAATCGGGATTGAATGTTTTTATTCCCTCTGTCTTATTGGTAGGATGGAGCCGAAAGTGTTAAAAGTCCGTTAGACAATAGCTGTGCGCTTCTGAGATCTTTAGCGTGCACCTCTTGTTATGTAGTTGTTTTTTTTAAGTAAAAGCATACGTGACGTTCATTTAAAGCAGATTCTGTGCCGTCGCCATGGAAAGTGCTGAAAACAGCGTTAACCTTCTCCGCTAACGTAGATCGCTGCAAGCGAAGCGAAATTTTACTGTACAGGCATATATGCTCGCCCCAACTGTCCCGTAACCCGATCCCTGTTTTGACTGTCGGGGCACGCGGCACTCGCGTTGCTTCGCCGCCACACAAAACAGAATCCAGGAAGCGCGGCGATTCTGCCACATCTCGCGTGCACCCACACTCCGCGGCCACGCAGGACGTTGGGGCAACAAGTGGCAGCGGCGTGATGTCATTTCCGCTCCGGAGACAGGCAGGGCCGCCGAGCTATCTATCTCTCCGGGAAACCGCGGGCCTACGAGACTGAGCACAGGCATCGCGACTCCGCGTAGAAGTAGCCGGCCCCGCTCGTACAGGCGGGCGTGCCCAACCGACACGACGCCGAGAAGACCGCGGGCGGGAACCCTTCTTCTCCTCTCGAGTAGGCCGCGTGTACAAGCTAGAGTCGCCAAGGGTCGACCCCCAGCACGCTGACGAAGAGCTCACGAACCCGTCCCGTCGGCTCCCACCCGCTCCCGAAGCAGTTAGGGCAATTATGCTTCATCGCGGATCTCTTCTTGCACAGTGACGACCAACACCCCGGGTGAGAGAGGGTGTTGCGTCGCTTTGTCTGTGCGTCTGTCTCGGCGTCTTCCGACGGCGTCAGTTCGAGGCGCTCACTGGAGCAAGAGATAGCACAAGTCAGTCGGCCATTGTCTCCCATCGTCGTCTTGCGGCGGGAAAATCCGCAAGGACCCGCTTCCTGAAGGGTGCATCCCCTTCCCGCCCAGGACAACACCAAGAAGTTCCTCGCTGTTTCCATCTGCTGTCGTGTGGTGCGCGTGTTGTGGATGTGGGCGTTGCGGACCCGTTTCTATCCTGGCCACTTTTCTTCGGCTGAGCGCGCTGAGTGACAGAAATGCCAGGCCGGTAGTGTGCAGGATTAGGATGTGCCTCATGCACCAATCGTGATGTTCTCGCCAGGCGTTGTCCTACTATTCTTGGCTGCCTACGTTGTAGGTGAGTTGCGCTGCTCAATCCTTTCATTTTGGTCCTGCTTCTTGATAGTCGTAAACTTCTTTTCCGTGGCAAGCATGAATGATAAGTTTTCGAAAGATATGTAGTAATATGCGTAACCAGAGTGAGAAGTCTGCTTCAAAGGATGAAAAAATAATGACACCCACAACTTCGTAGACGTCCAGTTGCATTGCATCAAATCATGAACAATTTAGCCGCCCTAAATTAATTTCACGCTAGCATGCAATGCATAGCGAGAGAGTTTTAAGGGTCCCATAAATGACGGTTATTGTAGCGGTACTCCTATAAATGCAGAGGAAGTGGTTTGTGGCAATATTGATGCTGGAATAGCGTGTCCCTGAGCCCAAATGATAAGCTTCAACGCAAATAAAAAAGTCAAATGCGTAATGCGTGATTTGTAGGCTTCAGGTGCTTTCACCTACTGGCGCCAACTTGCATTTCAAAACGCCCTCAATAGCCCGTACAAGTACTCAAGTTCACATACAAAAGAACGCATGAATATTTATTTTTGTGAATCAGATTAAAACCTCATGTCATTCGGCATCCTACTTGTGTATTGTTACGGAAGGGCCATTCAAAATCCTTGCCGTAGTCACTTGTTTGCATGATACAGCGAAAGTTTTACTCCTTACCTATGTCAGTACACGCGTTATGTCGTGTGCCCACACATTTAGAAGAATGATGACTAATTGATATCATTTGCTTGATAAGTATATATTAGGGCATTTCGTCCGTAACATAGCACAAATTTATTTATTTATTTATTTATTTATTTATTTATTTATTTATCTACTTATTTCAATACTCCCAATCTCAAGTGAGCTCAAGAGCATTTGATAGAACTAAAGGACAATGATGAGAAATGCGACGTTATCATAATATATTTGTTGAGCAACCTATCAAAATTAACAGCAGTATGGTTTAAATTACGAAGGATGGACGTTGATATATATTTTTTTATTTGAAGGTATCAAGAACAAGTATAGCTGTTTATAGCACTTCACGTGTTAGGCGCGGTGCCCATGCTGCATAAAATATCAAAAAGGGACAGCGTAAACTAAAAAAGAAACATAGAATGCATGAAAGGGCAGGAGCTATTTATCTCAGTTAAGCTTGTTGTGAAATGCCAGTCATAAAACGCCATTCCCATGTCTAAGGAGTTTATAGGAGAAGTTCGTTCAGAAGATTATTCAAACAAACAAAATCTGTTGATCCTAACGTAAACCAGCTACTATAACCCTCACCGATACATTTGCTCCAGGCTTTGGTTCTCGTGCATACTGCCGGGCGGGTGTGTTGTTGCCATACCATCCCGCGTTATACATTCAATAAATCTGTGCGACTCAAAACGGTGCTACATATAACGAACGCTATAGTGTTTCTCCTACAAGCTTCTATACTCTAGACGGAAGTTATCCTTCCGAGTTGGGCAATCGGTCCTTTTAAGCAGCAGTCACAACGTCAGTCATTCACACCGCATGCCTTTTTGTCGGAGATATTCTTGCGCAAATAAAGATATCGAAACAATGTAAGCGCTTACGATTAGGTAACAATAGGGTTACCAACCGTCCCGAGTTTTGCGGAACTGTCCATGCTTTTTTAGCTGGAAACATTTACGTAATCCACTGCACATCCAACACCACGCACCACGATATGGAACATGAAGTTCACACGAAGTGATACAGCGGTGGTTGTGAGAGGCTTTAGTCACTTTAGCCGCACTCCTGGCCGCGTGAAGTGCGACAACTTTTATAAGTGCATCAAGCGATTGATAGATTGATATGTGGGGTTGAACGTCCCAAAACCACTATATGATTATGAGAGACGCCGTAGTGTAGGGCTCCGGAAATTTAGACCACCTGGGGTTCTTTAACGTGCACCCAAATCTGAGCACACGGGCCTACAACATTTCCGCCTCCATCGGAAATGCAGCTGCCGCAGCCGGGATTCGAACCCGCGCCCTGCGGGTCAGCAGCCGAGTACCTTAGCCACTAGACCACCGCGGCGGGGCAGTGCATCAAGCGATACAAAAGTATATACATCATTGATAAATACATGTGAACAGTAACTTATCGGTTGAGCGAATTCATTACCAATTAATTACAGAAAAGATTCTAAACAATTTTAGAATTCTTTTCAAATTACTCTCAATTATTGAAAAGACACGTTCACAATAACGTGAAATCACGTACAACGTTCACATCCACGAATTTCATAGCTTAAGTATAGAATCAAAAGCAGAGCATCAAGAACACACATGCAGCTTCATTGAACGTGCTGAAGATTTCGAAGGGTGCGAATAATCATTGCATACAGCCGATGAAGGGCTGATTACAGACTGATTTAACTTACTGGGCAATGTGAGCTCCCGATTCAAGTCATCCATGTAGTCTCGGGAATGGAATTTTCATCATTACCCAAGAGCCTTATATTAACTGGTTTACGGCTCACGCACCTGAGCAATACTAAACTATTGGCATAAAGACTCATGTTTCTTGCACAAAACGGAAAAGTGTTAGTGTATCGCCGAGGTCCACCTCGCTAAAACAGTGACTAAGATCCTCGGCTGCAGACCCAAAGGTCACGGGCTCAATCCCGGCCGTGGCGGCCACATTGAAATAGCGGCACTATGGTTGAGGACCATGTACGGTGCGATGATCTCAGTGGACGTTCAAGAAGCCCAGATATTCAAAGCTTCCGGAGTCCTCTACAGCGGCGTCTCTCATACTAATATGGTGGTTTTTGGGTACTAACACCTGAGACGATAATACTAATATACAATCAATCATTCAATAAATCTTTTATTTAACGTGCCCAGGAACAGCCATGAGGTCTTAGTGCAGATGCAAGCAAAAATAAAATAATGTAAAATAAACAACACAATACAGACAGTTTTCAGAAAAAGAAACCTATAAGAGCGAAAACGCACAGACAAAAAGAAATCAGCAATAAAATGGGAAGAATGAAAAACAAGAGGTTTATGGATTGGCAGTGAAAATAAAGAGCAATATACACTGCTATGTAGAAGCCATCCTAAAAGACGAAAAGGGGAAGAATCTGTATATTGTGAAAACTACAATAAGGCAGTGCAGAGATTAAATATTAAACATTGATTGATTGATTGATATGTCGGGTTTCATGACCCAAAGCTGCTATAAAATTGTGAGAGATGACGTAGTGGAGGGCTCCGGAAATTTTGACCACCTTGGGTTCTTTAACATGCGCCCAAATTTGAGAACACAGGCCTACAGCATTTTCGCCTCCATTGAAATTACTGCCGCCGCAGCCTGGATTCAATCCTGTGACCTGCGGGTCAGTAGCCGAGTACATTAGCCACTAGACCACCACGGTGGTGCATGGAAATAAAAACAATGACAGTGGACTGCGAAAAACATCAAGATCATGAAAGTTTACATTATAGAGACTTTGTATTCTGTGACGAGTAAAGTGTCAAAAAAGTTGGCAGATGCATAAAATAGTTCATTCTTTCCGGTTAACTTGTGCGAATTCCGAAAATTTACACAACTGAGAAGTAAAGGACAGCTCATTAAACTGTGAACTAGTTTCTAAATAAAAACGCCAGGCCTGCGCGGTAGGCACAGCACAGTCACAGCGAAAGCTAGAATACCTGCCTTTCAGAGCCTCTTCAAAACACTCATTCGGTAACTACTGCAAGCACAGTTGCTTTGTACTCACTAGGGCATGAACACTAAACGTTTGGGTAGTAGGCCGCTATTTTTCGTCATTCTTCTGAGAAGCGTGCTATCCGCCAAACACTTGCTAGGAAATTTGTGCCAACTGTCCATGCTGTGGCTGACAACGATGAGGAATTATGGTTGACGTGGGTGTGCGCCACAGTTAATAGAAAAATAAGAAAAAGCTTTTGTAATAGATTGAAGCATTGAATGGCCCACTCGTTACGCTAATCATATTGTGTGACGACTTGTTCTTTCACTGTTGTAAAACGCTTTATAAGTCGTACTAACGCGATTGCTTTCCCGACATCAAGCATGCATAAGGCAAGTTTGATAATAAGTGACAAGCACCAGAGTAGCTCATTCGTAGAATACTGGGCGGGCATCCAGCGGACCCGGATTCGAGCCCCACGGTGCCATTGGTGCTAGGTCATGCCTGCCTAAAGCAAGTTTGACAACAAGTTAGAAGTGCTTGCATAACTCAGTGACAGAATATTTGGCTGGCACCCTACAGACCAGGGCCCCACTGTGTCATTGGTGCGAGGTTTTTTTCTGTTTCACGTGATGTGGTTACAGACACCGGCGGTAGCGGCAGCGGACAACATGCCTTGACCCGAGTTGTGATATCATCACAGCTTCCGCTGTAAAAAATAACTGATCAGCGCGACTTTTTCGGCAGTGAAGGGATGGGAATAATAATAATTTTGCAGCGTTGGAACAAGATCAACAGGCTTTTTTATGAAAACAATGCTTGGAAATTCTTATAAATTTTTTCTAGACTCTCCTAAAGGCGTCGGTCACTTTAAGGTATGGCATTTAGCAATGCCATACCTTACCACAAATGCAGATTCAAGTTGAGTTTGAGACATATAGTGGCGTACCATTTTTGGAAGGCTGTAGATCGACGATTTATCAACCGCTAGACGTCTTCAGAAGAAGATACAATGCCGCATAAACAAGCTAAAGTTACAATGTTGGGGAGATTTCCGCGCGTCGTTAGATCCCCGCAAGCCTTTATCACACTTGTGGAAGACAGCAAGAGGGCTTCGGACAGCTCCCATTCAGCGGTCCACGTTCAAGGCTCTAGCCCTCTCTCAAGAGAGATCGGAGGTATACGGGGCAGAAGCGGTCTGTGCCAAATTATCTGGTCAGCTCGCAGATCCCAACATCTCCACGCTCTCACGTGGTGGCACGACATCACACGATCACCACATGGACCAATTTTTTTCTATTCATGAGCTTAAAGCAGCACTGGCTTTGTGCAAACGAACATCAGTACCCGGGCCT